GTGACTTTTATTATTTTTATATAGTAGCTTAAGTCATGCTGCATGGTATATCTGTTTATATTAATCGTAATATTGAAAAATTAACTCAAAACAGATATATTTTTTAGGAAAGAAGTTGATCCACGATTGTTAGGGTTAAGAGTTATCGAGTGGCGAGGACTTTGAACTGAAAGAGTTTGTGATTTTTTATATTCTTTTGAATTTAAATTTGTAGTTTTAAGTTCAATAATTTAGCATAATTTTATATTTAGTTCATATTTAGTCAAAAAGTTATCTAAGTATCTCATTGTCTAGACATACCTCTACAGTACTGCAATTGTATCATTGAAGATACAGTGTATCAAAGTAGAGAATTTTCACAGCTCGTTGGTCACGTGACAATACATCTGAAGTTATAAGTAGTTTATTAAAGATTTATTTTGAAATAAAAGATCTAAAACTTGGATTAAATAAAACTTTGAATCATAACACCCATTATAATATTAAATTCATTAACATAGATTGATATTAAAGGTATTTAATTAAATTTTGAATGTAACACAGTGACTTCCACAAAAAAGCATTTAAAGGGGGCTCCCGTTGTAAAAGGGTTAAAATCACTAGTGGTAATATAATGGGTATAAAGACTGAAGCAATCAAGGTAGAATTCATACAAACGCTTAGATGGGCAAAGAAGAGAACTTTTCATTCAGGATACAGCTAAAGTGTGAGAAGAGGTAAGTGTGTTTTGGAAAAAGTATTCTCTATACGTTTTTAATTTTCTCCTTTATACTGAGAGAACTTTTTGATGTATCTAAAAAAATTACATTTTTGAAAAAACCTTCTTTTATTATGCTCAAATACCTTATCTTGAGTTTCCTGTAACTTTGACTGGAGCTACAGTGTGTGGGCATGACAAAATTAAGTTAGTAAAAAATTCATATTTCTGGATACAGCAATACTTTTAATATATATAAATTTTAATTCTTAACAAGAAAATGTTTAGAAAAATTGGTTATAGATGCCTTAATTTCAAATACTTTAAGAAAAAAAGCTCAGAAGGGAAAACACACAAGACCATATGTATCAAAGCAGAATAAGAAAGGAAAGAATACTTTTTTTCCTTACTTGTAACTTCTTCATTGGCAATTCTGTCTATGAGTTCTACAACACGACTTTGCATAGCTCGACAGGTTCGCTGTAAATCCTGTTAATAAATAGCACTTGAATACTTTATTTCCTCAATTAATACATTAATAATTAATAAATAAAATGCACAATCAACTGAAAACCACTAATAGAAATTAACTGAATCAGAAAATGTTCATATTTCTCAAAATTACTTTAAGATAGATGACTAAAAATGTTACTTTAATCTTCTAAATACACACAATTGACAAGATTTCCTAACCTGAAGAAGTTCCCAGTCACTATCATGTTCCTTTCCAGGGGTCATTTCTGTTAACATTTCTCCAAATACCTTCATATTTCCTTGGACTACATCCAGTTCACTTTTAAGCTTTGCCAGTTGCTCAGATGACAAATTTAAAGGACCCGAGTTTCGTACCGGACTTACCTGAAAACAGATAAATTACTGTATTTCTACTAAGTTTTGTAATAACTGCTTCTGGTGATTTTTTAAAAAAGCATGATTAAGAACAGTAGAATGGTAACAAAATGATTGCATGTCTTCAAAGATTCTGCAAACTCAGTTATAAACAATCATCAATGACATCAATTTTTTTAAAACAATGATATGAACAGAACCTGTAGCCCTCAATGGTCAGCTGGAAAAGGAATCCACAGATCAATAAATGGATCCAAATAGACCCCACTCTTCCTGAGCCCAGATGATAGTCACTGATGAAACTGTCAGTACTGAAACCTATGGATAGTGGAAGAGCAGATGGGAAAAGAGGAATGAGATGGAAGAACAAGAAGTGGAAAGGAGTTGGGAGGACAGTATACAGCAACTGGAAGAGGAGGAATTTGGGAAAGGCAGGACACAAGGGTAGTCAAGGATAAATGTTGCTGCAAGGTCTCAGCTCATAACTACAAAGAATCAGGTACCCCACCAAAAACTCACTGGTGGAGAAAAAGAGCCAGATGAAGGTCCCTGAAATAAAAGAGAAGTAAACAAACTTGGGTAAGAATGGAGGCCTTCCCCAAAAAACTCCAGCAACAGAGTAACCAAGTGAGAAGGGTCAAGGCTGAGGAAGAAGAACATGCCAATGTAGTAAAAGGAAGGGAAAGAATGTCTGCCAAAAACCTTTCAGAGGAATGGTGGATTGCTTCCAAAAGAATATGGATGGAAGATAGAGTTGTAAAAGAGTTGTAAGGGTAAGGCAAAGGTGAGCAAACTGAGCTTGAAAAAGGCTAACAGAGGACAATGAATCAGAACCCCAATCGGAAGAAAAGACTTCAAAGTTTGGGAGTCCAAGAAAAGGGCTTCAGCTTGATTGTAAGCCAATCGAAGAGGATGAGGCATAACATCACCAGAGTGCTGTTGAGACAAAAAATTTTCAGCATGGACTCTGATATCAGGGGAAGGAGTAAAAATATAATATTCTGAAAAAGAAGTCAAATGAAGAAGGGAAAGAAGACAGTAATAAGAAATAGGGAGAGTGAAAAAAAAAAGGAAGCATACCTAAAAAGAAAAGCCATGAAAGTGCTCAAAATGTTGAGGTAGATCCATATCTGCACTGAAAGAATCGTTTGCAAATTTAGATGGTGGGAAAAAGATTACCTAAAATCCACATCCTTATGGACAGGAATTAAAGACTCCACCACCTGTCACACAATAGCTGTCACATCCCCTGACAGACAAAGAAACACCCAACAACATTGTGGTAGTCTGCCTAGAGTGAACAAATTTCAGATGTTCAGCACTACACAACATAGAAATGACTGTCTCTGTGTAATTCACATCTGTGGAAAATAAGAGCAAAAAAAATTTGCAAAGGCAGAGTTGTTTGCAAATAAAAACAAAAAATATTTTCATAACAGTTGGTTTTATAGATACTTTAGTTATACAATGACACTGAGAAATCTCATGCAAGTGAAAAAGACACATTTCAACATGAGTGCCAAATCAAGAAGTGATGATTTAACAAGAAGTATAGAGGGATCCAGCTGCACTAGAAAGCAGTGTCACACTCCTTGTGGTGGAGAGTTGTTGCATGCTCATTTGCATGCAACAGTGCAGTAATATCAAGGCTAGGGGCAAATGAAAAAGTTCACATATAGAGAGCAGCACTGAATCAGGAAGCGAGTAGAGGTTATGTATTGCATCGAAAACAGAAAAATCAATCCAGACACAAAATATAACTACAGAAAACTGTCAAGTTTTATTTACCTCCTTTCTTTAAAAAAAGTCCTCTGTGCTTCATATTGTATTTAATGCATAATAATACACATACACATGGTCTGTACTTTTAACAACTAATAATACCAAACAAACCAGTCTATCTTTAAAAAATAATGGCATAAATCTCACAATCAGATTTAATTTTCACATTGACTACATTTATTGCAATATAACATTTAAAACAAAAAATTATGTAAAATATTCATTAGAGAATAATTAAAACTACTAACTCAATTATCTGTTCAATTTTTTTATCAATGATGACTGTGTAAAACTAGATTGTACACATAAGGATGAATCTCTGACAAAAAATTGTACCAATGTAATAAAACATTCACACACATGAAGCACTTCTTGTTCATGTTTTTTTATGGTTACTGTACTTTTTTTTCACACTCAAAATGAGAGCTGTAAAATAATTAACTGCCAACTATTTTTTGAAAACCTGTTTTTATAACTATTTTATAACAAAGAAATTATATCCTCATGATCTTTGAGCTTTACTCAAACCTTCTACATCTTGAGTAAGAAATTTCACAGGTAATACTTGCATAATAATGTCTAATAAACTTAAACCAGATATGCCCAAGTCTTAAGTTCCTCACACTTTCTAAGATATTATACATTTGTTAAGGAATGACTAAGTGCACTATATATGCAAGTGTGGAAGCTAGAAAGATCCCAATAAATTCGTGAATACTCACATAGAGACCAACTGAAACTAAATGTCCATGATGAAATAAGATTTACCTGATGGGCTACTGGATGTTGAGCATGGTGATCTACAGGTTGTGGTGATCGTTCCACTTCACCATGAGATTGCTGATGGAATGGTATGCTCTATTAAGCAACATAAAAAACCAAGTACAAAAAATTAATACATAAAATTATACCAAGAGATAAAGAATAAACAGTAAGATTTTTGGTTAAAAATGTATAAAATACCTTAGAACTAGAAAAATAATCAGAAAAATTAATTGATAAAATATACCAAAATGGAACAATTACCCAGTACGTGAATTTTGGGGTATTTGAAGCTTAACAAAATTGCTCTTTGTAACAATAAGATAAGCTGAACACAGTTTAATAATGGTTGGATAAGGCTTGAATGGGTAATGAAGAAAAACTTTAATATAAGTTTAACACAACAGCAAATGTACAGTACAACGTTGTTAAACTTATATTAATGTTTTTCTTCATTACCCATTCAAGCCATCTCCAACCATTATTAGTCTCAAAGTGGGTTCCTCGTCATCGAATCTGAACATAGTTTCTTGGAGCACTGACAGCAAGTACAAAGATAACAATAGACAGGAAAACAATGATTTATATTTAAGTTTTCTTAACTTTTTATACGTTAAATTATGTATGGTTGTATTTGGAATAGTATTTTGATCTATTGTTTGTACTCTTAAATAACAATGGTAATGGAACCTTCAAAAAGTTAACACTAAATGTTCTGCACTGTTCACTAACATCTTTCTCAGTTATATTTTGTCTTGTATTCTTTGATTTTTTTTCAGTAGCCATATTTGTAGATCCTGAGATGACTGGTGAAATAAATATTATTAGATGTATTTAATCGGCATTTTTTTTCTCATAAGTTTAAAGTTTTTATGAGACAAGTAAGTTGTTTTGATCATAAATGTTTGAATAACTTTAATAGTTTGGAAAGAAGTAAAATGGTTTTACACACTTCATTTTTTTTCATAAATTATACAGATGTGATGTACTTTATTCAATATAAATTTGTTATTTGTTATTTCACATCAAATGAAATTTTTGTAGTTGCATCTTGTATTATCAGCACTGTAATCTATTTATGAATTAAACTAATTAAAACAAAATTTGTCATATAATAAAACATGCATGTGTTTTAAACTCTCCATGCATGCTTGAATAAAATGAATGAACGTCTATAAAAAAACAAAAAAAAACACACACACACACACTCGTTAACTGTAAGCAGCAGTACTTTAAAAACCTAAAATCCTATAGTACTAACATGCAAGAAAATATTAACATTTACACCCAGTTTACAAATGACATGCAAACAGCAGTGGAAACTTAAACATGCAAGACAGTCAGCACTGGTGTTACATTTCTTTCTTCTATACTTTAATTTTTTTTAAAAATCATCCATAATTTACCCCAACTGTGCATAATAATGAAGTTTTTCATTTATATCAGTATATTGAATGATAACTGTAAAAAGGAGTTTTGTTGTAAAGTTTAACATGTATCTTTTGTACCAAACAGTTTCGTGCATTAATCTTAAAGCAGAAGTACCACATATGAAAAAATTTTCACTATTAAATCCTTATTTCAAACACTGTAACTATAAATATTTAATGCTGTAATATACTTCTTTCTTACATAAAACATTTTTATATAGAATTATGCAACAAAACTACTAAGTTTTTAAGTTCATGAAACATTTAAGTTGTAAGGTTTCACTGACAATCACAAAAATTGGCTTTTCCTCATTATTTGAAGTGTACTAGTGAACAGATATCAAATATTCAATGTTCTGCTTATTGTCTGATGAAATAGCCATACCAAAACACTGACAAACATGGAAGAACTTGCCGTGTTATTGATAATTTTACAATTTACTAATCATAAAGAAACACCCTTTCTTGGTTTATTTTACATTTTAAAAATATGGATGATATAAATAACACTGTAAAACCATGTTATTATCATGGACATCCACAGTATGTGGCAAGGGGAGCATTTGCATTCCCCTCCACTGGAATTTCAGAAGAAAATTTGTTTGGATAAATTATTATAAAATGTATTAGAAAATAACACTAATTAAGTATAAATGATGAAATTAGGCATACATAAATAATCCACAATCAGCCAGAGCATTGCATTTAAACTTCACCTGGAATAAATTCTGTAGACACTCATAGTTATTATTATTTTTTCTTTGAGATATATAATTGTGATGTTTCGTATTTGGCTTATTGTGAAGCAGTTATGAAAACAAAGTTTTGTTCATCAGCAGGAGCTTACTCACTGTGAATAGAATTTAATACTAATATTAAGGATATGGCCATATCAATAATTAATCAATTTGCAGACAAAATGCCCAATTAAAAAGGCATGCCAATCCTGTCTGCAAAGTGGCTTGCATCTAAAGAGGCAGTGCTTTTTGCATGTTCTGTACATGAAAGGAAAGTACACATTAACTTTGTCCTAAGCATTTCTTCAAATGCTGTTCACTTAAAATGTTTATACAATTTCAAAATCAAGTCCAATATTTAAATACTATTACCCTACCCTTTGTGGTGTATGTATTGGAGCCATGGTCTCTAAGTCTGTCATTGGAAACTCAATACCTTTCTGCTTCAAATCCTGATAAACCTGGACAACTCCTTGCATTTCTGAATTTGTACGGAAAGCATCAGCCCAACTCTAGTTAAAAAAAATACAAGACATAAACTAGCTTAATATATCATCAAACCAAAGCAGAAATTCAATTGCTGGAATGCATTCTGAAAGAAATATTTCTGTTGTCTTATAAATTCCAATAAAATTTAGTGAATGTTCATCTTAGATAGTTATAAAAATTAATAGTGTGATTTCATTGGTCTTTTAAGTGTGATCAGATTTACATACACATTTAACTTCATATCATGTCTTAACTACATTTCCCTCTGGTTCTTCATCCATATTTAATACTTTAAAATTACTTTTATTACACTTAATTATAATCCCAAAATTGTTGGTACTTGAAATGAGTAATAACATAATAAAAATAAAATCCATCTTATACAATAAAGAAGCAATCCACATTCAAAAATACAATCACTCTGGATGATATGAACTTTTTCTGCATTCAGGTGAATTAAAACAATAAAGTCTTTTTTAATTTGTCTCGTATCACATCACACTTTGCAATTCAAATATGCCCCATTAGAGATTCAACCTTATCCTTGCATAGCACAAACCGCAACACAATTTTTATTATAGAGAATGCATAACCTGGATCTGAGATTTTTTGATTATACATAAGTTATACCATTCTCTTCACACAATTCTTAAAGATATGTAATTTTCTGTTTGGTGATAATACTACTAGATAAAAAAAACATGTTTTTAAGGAGGTAGGCCTAAGTTGTGACCTTTTTAAAAAAATTAGGTTTGTTTCCATTTTTAAAAATAAGCATGTGTTTTGTAAAAAAAAATAGATGACATGAGTTAGCCTAGTGAGAAAAGGCACTGTACAGTAGAATTTTCAGGTCTAAGAATTCACAGAAATACTAAGCATTGTATTAAAATAACTTTCCCAGAAAAGCCTTTTAAATGTTTTTTTTAAAAATTCAAGCAATTTGATACAGTATTTTGTGTTTCTTGAATTCACACGAAAAAGTATGTTAACTACATGCTGGTGCAGTGTGAGACAAATGTTTCTAAATGTTACACAAAATTATTCTGAGTAGCTTGTTTGTTTGTTGTTGTACAGAAAAATATATAACACTTCCAGTCATATGATTAGTCAGTGTAGTTTGAAGTAAAGGTACAAAATTCATTACCTTCAACTTTAGCATTATAAGCCCTCAGACTTTACACTGAGACATCGAGGGGGGACATTGCTGCTATGCAACATTTTTGAAACAAATTATCTCTCTGTAATAATAGGAATATTTCCATGGGCTGTTAGTTAACAGAACATACAATAGTCTGTTTCTGTGAATGATTCATTCAGTTCAGCTTTTTGAATTTATTTTATGCAGTTATTGGATGGCTTAAGCTCAAATATATCCATAACATTAACAACTTTACAAAACCTTATACCAACTAAATAATTTATTTTGATATGCACTTAATATCTTCCAATTATCTTATGGAAGAATAACAGACATCTAAATAATGATATTCAATATTTTAGATAAATCACTTATGAAACAAAATTGGAGTGCATTTTTTTTATGTCATCTAACATCATCTGTGTGATTATTTTTTCCTGCATAACTATTACACATTATTTTGTGACATATTTCAACCATTACTTACTTGTATTAGACTCAGCACCTTCTCTTGAACAGCAGCAGGAGGGTCATTTTTTGGTCCAATCAACTTTACTAAGTCCACAATAAAATCTTTTTGCGTAATAAGCAAGTGAAATCTCTTCCCACAGTTCTTTACACAGGTTTCTAAAACCTAAGATATATTGCAAGTAACTTTGTTACTTCAGTTTTGCCATAATTAAGCAATATATGTTCAAACTTTCTTCTACAAATTTTATACGCATCTTTTTAATAAATTAAAAGTGCTTCCTCAAAATTCTAATAGTTCATTCTTTCTAAGCAATTTTGCAACACCAAACTTTAACTATACACCTATGATCTAAAAGCAGGTGTCAGCAACCAAGGTTATTCTACATTTTAATTTAAAATATTTCTAATACTTACCAGATTAATGTTCTTAAAAATCAACAGAATCATGCTACTTTGCCAATTCTTGCAAATGATAAAAAATTTAATTCAAATAAAATGATAAAAAAATAAAATAACAGTGTTTTTAATCCTGACCCTGAAAATCAGATTTGTAAATAATTTAAGTAAAATTTATAGTAATTGCAATTCACTTGCTTAATATAGATTACACCATAACAGTCATTATTCGTGTATCACAGCCAACCTGATGTGCTCTGATATTGGGCAAAAGGTCTTGTTGACACAGGATATGGAAGATGTAGCATTGTTAACATATTATAAATATTGTTCATTGATTTCAATAATGAATTCTTAGAATCATAATCAAAATGTAATTAAATATTCACCTTGTAAAGAGACGTATACTCTAACACTTTACATCATGTCTAATCAGCGTAGTTTAAATATAAAGGTACAAAATTCAGCAAATACATACAAGTGAATAGTAAAATTTTAAATTTTTGAATTTTAATAAATTTCAAAAAGATACCTCTAAAATATTGAAAACTTTTCCTTGTTGAATTTGCTCTCATGCTGTCAACAATCATATGACTCAAAGTTCTGAATGTTCTTGAAGAAATGTTGAGAAAGTATCACTTACCCATAATTCTCCACTCTCTTACCTTCTGCTGGAGTTATTAAGCATACATCAGGTGATTTTTACATAAGCTTTGTTTCCTGTCATAATTTCAATTTTAAAGTAGCCAGTTGTGATGGAAAACCATGTATTACCCTATTATGAAGAGGTGGGTGGGAAGTAATTCACAGGTAAGAAGTTAATTTTATATCTTAAAATTTTAAATTTAAACTTGAAATGCTGAAAGCAAGAATACCCACACTGGAAAGGAGGAGGTAACTTGGGAGAAGTAAAGATTTAACAAAAATATATATGATACAAGGCAAGAAGGTAACAACCTAGACCACAAGAAACATGTAGTCATGCAAAGTCAGTGTGGAATCCATAACCAAAAAAATCTGAAGAACTAGATTCAAGGAAAAATGCATAGAGTGGACAAGCCTTATATAAAGACTGAACCTAAGAAAACTTGTAAAGAAGGCATCACTTCAGCACGGTATCTCTTCACCCTGGATGCTCTTGAGTTCATACAAAAATGTGGTCAGTTATGATGATAATGTGTTTACTTGTAGAGTCAAGGATGGGAGCACAGGTGGTGGCATAAACAGGTAGAAGGAATACTTCGTCCAACTTCTGTAGTGGAAGGGTTCTGGGATGAGCAGTCACATCAAAACTTATGAGAGGACATACTCCTGAGGTTTAGTCCCACATTATAAATACTTACAAATGTCAGTGAGTCACAAAACACCCCAAAATAGTAGGCTCTCACAAAGACCCTAGCTGTCCCAAGGATGGGGTTCAGCAACTTGAGAGCAGAGTAATGGGAATGACAAAAATAAAACATAAAAGAACAAAACAACAAATACTCCCAATGCTGATCAAAACTATGAAAGAGCTATTTGGAATGCATGGTCCTGCCTCAGATATTTATGTCACATAAGGATGTATATGCTGAGATGAGATTTCTCGTAACATTACAGACAGCGTATTTCATGCTCCTCAGGAATATTTCATTTGTGAAATACAGCAATGTACTGCCCCGAGAAGATTAGAAAATGTTCTAAATAAAAAACAAAGTGAGTCAAGATAGGTAACACAATAGGAGAAATGCTGTTGTAATTTCTCTCGTAGCCCAAGTGTTTTTTAGAAAGACACTATCAAGTTATAAGTACAGAGTCTTCTTAGAAAAAAAAAAGAGTATAAGAAGCACTGATGGCATAAATGACAGACGTTTTACTACTTTGAATGAGTCGTAGAACAAAATGTCTTCAGTTAAAGAATGATAAAGCAAAGAAGTCAGTATAGATTCAAAAACAGAATTAAGATAATGTAAGACAAAAGTCAAATCCCACTTATAGCAGTGTCTAGAAACCTAGGGAAAAGTAAGATAAAGGCTTTGAAAAGGTTGTGAAAGAGTGGGGATGAGAGGAAGATGACATCTTTAATGTCTAAAGTTCTGTGGCCTGTAACAGAAGACAAACAAGCCATGATCATGAAATAACAACACATAAAAAAACAGGCAATCTGCTGAGGAGTTGATGAAAGATAAGGAACTGAATTTCTAAAGTTAGCAAGACATGAAGATTGCTATATGGCAAGGGATGAACATCTGCAAGCATTTAACAACATTCAATCTACTCTTAAAGAAAATCTAGCTTTTATAATAAAGAAGCACATAACAATCAGCCACAAAGTTTGGAACATGGATGTTTAAGACTAGCATAGTTGTTTCCAAACTGGTATGGAATACGATCCTCTTGAGATAAACAACTCGGTAGTGGAAACCACAGTTATGCTGGTCATAGTGGAGTAACAAGAACTTACTAGTTCAATAAAATGATTTTGGCTTGTACCTGAGGAAGATAATAAATAGGAGAAAAAGATTCTCCCCAGAATGGCTCAAAGTTTCCACTGCTAGAGAAGTGGAACATGGAACTAATGAAGTGGAAGAAGATGACTGTCCCCTTTTGCAAATACACTGATCAAAGTATAACAAAGTTCTTTACACAACTACTGAAAAGCTGAAGGGTACAGTCTGTGAAGATAATCGGATAGAATGTTCATAACCCCTTGCACATGACAGGCATAGAAATATGCATGATTAGAATGGAGCTAAAGAAGTAGAGAGACTGTGGCAAAGAAAAGACTGAATTGAGATTCCTCCCTGACTATTGATAAATACCACCACTGTATAACTTTTCATGTGAAATAAAACAGTAGTGATGTAATAAAGGTAGGAACTCTAGATAGGCACATTGAACTGCCCAAAATTTCAAAATATTGATGTGAGAAACTGACTTCTGAAGAGACCAGGAACTTGAAAGATGATGTTTCCCAACACAGCACCTCAGTTATGAAGAGAGACACCTATGAAGAGGGGCATCTCTGGATGAGGTGGAAGAAAATGGGGAAACCTACACTTGTAAATCATCAATTTAGCCAAACTTTAAGTTAATAAAGAGTAGCAGGACAGAGAGAAGGGAATTCTCTGAGAAAGCAGATCTGAAGATAATGCCACTAAGAGGCAAGATCTCAATGACAGTGTTTCTTGTGAGCACAACCCAAGTGAATCAAATACCTTCTGAAAGCAAACAAAAGACAATGTCTTTGACAGATGGATTATATGACAGAAGTATAATCACCTGAGACTACAGGGATTTGGGATCATAGACAATCTCCCAGAAAAGAAGCCAATTGGGTGGTTAATTGAAAATGATTCAACGACTGAGGTGATGAATAAGAATATGCTAATCATCCATTTAATGATGAAAATCACTATTGACAGTGTGTAGAAGATAAGCAAATGCTTTGAGTATATGTATGGAGACATAAGAAACTGACACTAGACCAAATGGGAGGATAAATCAGTCCTAGTGAAGAAAATGTTGAGAAGATGGATGAATTGAGACATGTATTTTTGATATCCACTTTTATTACCCAAAGACCATGACAAATGAATTTCTATAAAATCATCATATTTCCATCTAAGAAAGCAGAAAACTCAGAAAGTAATTATATTGAAAAAGATATATTAGTCTTCAATCTCCTGAATTTTTGCTATTACAAGAAGAAGTATAGTGAAGTGCCTCAACAGTCACTTTCTGCAAAATGTCAACCAATAGACCACATCTTTAACTCTTGAAAACACTAGCAAATGGTTGCTACATATTTTTATCCAACCAGCAGACTAGGAACTACTACTAGCAACAAATTCTTTTATAAAAATTAACTGCAACTGTATCATAGTTAATTATCTCATATATCCTATTTGTATATGAATATCAATCTTTGTCATTTTTTTCTTCTTACATATATTGCAAACTGTGGTTTCTGCCCGAGCATTTGTCTATCTCCCATTTACAAAAGCCACTTCCCATGCCACGTTTGAAAAGCTGCACACACAAGCAAAGCTCAATGTTCATTTTTTAAATGATGGCATGAATAATGTTGATGCCAAGTTTTATGTTATAGACAGGATATTCTACACTAAAGTATTAGGAATTAATCACACTATCATTCACATTTCAAAATGTGACATAACTTTGAGAATGGAAATGTAGATTTACTGTATGTTATTGTTGAATGGCTCTTAGAATGACTGAAATGCTCAACAATTACATTTTGCAGTGGATGGTATAAGTAGCTCAGACCTTTGGTTCTGAGTGAAACCAAGAGTGCAACACAATTAACCTTTTTAAAGTCCATGAAATAATTTAAATTGTTATATTAACATAAACTTTTCCCATCACTGAGAATGGGTACTTTTACTTGTTTCAAATGTTTTTGAATATCAAAACTGATTCTATTTATAGGTGACAGTGTTTAACTATTTCACAAAACTTAAAAAGATTGTTGATTTAATCTGAAACTGATGTATCTAGGTCACAGCTGCTAGGATCAACAAGGTCTACAGTACCCCAGTGCTGATATTCACTCTATTTGTATAATAAAAACAAAAGTATTTTATTATTAAAAGTTATGGCTTAAACATCAACAGTTGGCAAAGCATCAGAAGCCAATAGGCCTGATGTTTGTGTTAATTATGGACAAAGTAAAAAGAGTATGGAAAAAACATCTGCCTGTTTTTATTATTTCCTTTTTATCATTACCTCCAATGAGTAACCACTTCAGCACAGTATTTCTAACCATGCTGCCAACAAAACTGCATTGCTGAGGTCAAATAGTGTCAGGCTGGATCATGTGCTAATTGTCTAGGCAACCAATAAAACAAATCAAAGCTTAATTCTCATTTACTGATACTTAGCCTGGATATGCCATGGAGCTCAATTAGGGATTGCAAAACTGCCATGATACTGGCAAGTGAAACAATCTTGTTAATCATAATTATAATAAACTTCAGATGTGGGAGATTTAAGGCTTGTGGCATGTACAAATAATTTTTTTGCATAAAGAGGGTAGCACTGAATGAGAATAGCTATTTATGTGAGCGGAAGTAATGTACATATCGGAAACAGGAACTAACTGGACTTATGGGCAAAGTTAAGAACACCCCACCTGCCCCTAATAAGATAAGAAGTTTTATTTAAAGAAATCAGTCCATGGGTTTGTGGATGGGAATCCCTGTACTACATACATTGACATTGATCCTAATACTACAACTGTTCCACCAAACTTAGTAAAGGTGGAAAAATACCTCCAAAAATGATGAAAGAAGATGGATTAATAAAAACATCAAATGGACATAAAGTTCCAGCAAGAGGAACTTCTCTACAGTTCATGATGTGTGGAAAATTGACATTGAGGAATAGCAGATATTAGGAAGTGACTTCATGTGGAGACACGATTGCAAAGCTAGTCTAACAGAAGTAGCCCTGGTAAACATTAACATCCTGTAAAGTGCTAATCAAAGAAAAAATTAAAAAGGTCCAAAACATTTTGCATGCAAGTGATTCAAAGTTTATTTCATGCCTTTCAAAACACCAGTAAACGTTCAGACTCATAGAGAGATATTCTGCTGCCCAGTTTGACAATCAAAAACACAAACCAAACTGTGTAGTCTGTAGTATTGTTTGTTTGTTTTGAATTTCGCGGAAAGCTACACGAGGGCTATCTGCACTAGCCATCCCTAATTTAGCAGTGTAAGACTAGAAGGAAGGCAACTAGTCATCACCACCCACCGCCAACTCTTGAGCTACTCTTTTAGCAATAAATAGTGGGATTGACTGTCACATTATAACGCCACCACAGCTGAAAGGGCGAACATGTTTGGTGTGACAAGGATTTGAACCCATGACCCTCAGATTGCGAGTCAAGCACCCTAACCACCTGGCCATGCCAGGCCAGTCTCTAGTACCTGGTCTAGAAATTGCAAACAAACAAACTATAAAGGCAAACAATGCAGTGTGCTGATGTGTGAAGTTCCATGTCATGAACTGTATCTCTACTACAGTGATTACAGACAATCAACAGTTCAGATACTTCAGAGAACAATACAGTTCAATAAGCAGATATTGAAAAAAGTGAAATTAACAGTAGAATATATCACTGAATGCCAATTAATGTTAATATTTTATCAGTTCAAACTATTCTCTTGATTGTGTGAAAATTTTGTGATGATGTCTTGTGTAGTTTTAATTTATTTCTTTTTAAATATGAAAGGTAGTATTTTTCATCTTTGTGGGAAATATATTCAGTGCTGTGATGTCAGTATTAAATTCTTATTCATCACCAGAAGGGTTAAGAAATATAAAAAAATATATCTCAGTTATCCAAATAATTAATTTAGTTTGGGAACATGTCTATAAAATGAACACAGAACGTGGTATTACCTATAGTTTTTAAACATATACCTTCCAGTTTCTGAACAAGCTCAAGTTATAAGGGAAAATGGCATTAAAACTACCACCATGTGTCAATCAGTCATTAAATGTACAGGTCTATAGCTTACACAATGATTAAAGGTTAATTTTAAAATGATTTAAATAACCAGTACATATACTTACTGTAAGTGTGTACATGACTACAGTATAATTCTTGCCAGCATTCTGTTGCAATCTCTTTCTTACAGCTTTGACTGCATCTTTAGGTCTACCAAACACAAACATACAGAGTTTAATTATAATAACAGCGAAGTTTCTTATATTTGCCAACAACTGTGTCAATTAGACAAAATGATCAGAGATATCACTAAAGATTATTTATTTTTCATACTTTCCAATGTATAAAATAAAAACAAACATTTCAGGACTCTCCTGATTCCCCTGTTAGGATACTACTTTGTACCTGCTTGGGAACTTGGCAGCCTTCAGACATCTTCTAAAATTAACAAGGTACATTCTAAATGTATTGTATGGAGGTCAGATGAGAAAAAGGAAAAGGCTGTCAAATTGGTCCCTTGTTACTTGTGGAGTACCTCATAGATCAATGCTTAAATTTTTGCTCTTTCTTATTTACATTAATGATATGTACTGATAAAGGTATAATTAGTAAAGTTTGCTGATGACATTAAACTCCCCCAGATTTCCATGTGCAACAAGGACACTGAGGTGTTACAGAATGGCATGCATCAATTGTTAAGTTCAACTAATATTTGGCAAATTACCTTTAATTATAGTATGTACAAGGTAATGCACTTGGGTTATCATAATTTGAATCACACACTTAATATAGATGGGATCCAACTCAATAACACGATGAAGAAAAAAATATGGGTGAAATGATGGATAATTCAATCTGTTCCTATAATTAAAGCAAAGTTATAGAATTTTATGGTGTATTTATAGATATACTGATTACAGGTAAAAAAGAGATAATAGCATCTTCACACAAATCACTAATTAGGCCTCACTTTGAAGACTGCGTACAGTTTTGTTCTTATTTAAGAAAAGATATTTTCTTATTGAAAAGGGTACAGAAGAAGGCTACTAGGATGATTCTGGAGATAGAAAGGATATCTTACAGGGATATATATTAAGATCTCTTATTACCTTTTGAGAATAAAAGGATGAAAGTGATCTTATTGAAGGTTACAAGACTGTCCAAGGGATCAAGAGGATAATGGCCTCCAATTTCTTTGTGTTATATTCTGAATATAACAGATAGAGAGAACACAAGCTTAAAATTTTAGAAAGACTAAGCTCCATTTAACACAGTTATATTTTCCTAATAGAGTGATTGACTTATGGAATAAGTTGCTGTCAGCAGTAGTGGAGGTCAGCACTTTACAGGAGCTTATGAGAGAAAACAAAAATGTTCTTAAAAGTAAAGAGTGAGCTTAAATTTTTACTTTTTCAAAGGGTTGTGTACAAGAATAGCGTTGAAATACCAAACGGTCCTTTGTTGTCAAAAGGTTATTTTATGTTAACTGATTTTAAATTAAAACTCCCCTCTCTTGACTTGCCATAATAATGCTCATAGAAAAATCCTCCTCTTACTACCATTTTAAATAGCTTAACTTTTCATACTTAAATCATAAATATAAAACAAAGTTAAAAATCCTCTTTCTGCTAAATTTCTCAATTTTTTTTTTAAGAATATGCCATTTAAAAGTCTCAAAATCAGTCTAGATATGACCTTGCATTCTCTTTACTGAATATATAAAGTATGAACTAGTGTAAAACCTATGGATGTTTTAGAATTTAAAAAATTCATCATTTTGAATAATGCTTTAAAATGTCAAATGCAAAAAATCTATAGTTCTAACATATTTTTAATTAACACTAAAACCATTGGCAGTTTGTACATCATTCAAATTGTGTTGCATAAAAACTAAAGTTATTGAAATCCCTGATGTTTACCTATTTTTTTCTGAGTCTCACAAAAACAGATAAATTGTTTTTTTTCATCTGGTTAAAGGGTTTCAACTTAATATTAGCAAAAAGATATACAAAAATATTGTAACACTCAAAACCATACATGAATGTTACCCAATACAAGTGATCAGCAACCATACAACATAGCTTTAGCTTCATGCTTCTTTTGTTTACTAAGATTTTCTTTTGATTTTGTAAATTCTAAGAATCAGAGGGCTCTAACATGAATTGTTGGATTTTTTTTGTTCCCTTCTAACTTTACTACAATTTTGCAATATTATCATATATAAATTATTTTAATTATGTTGTTAACATTTCCTAAAAAATACTAAAGAACTACTTTTGAAAAAAAAAACCAGAAAGTTATACACTTTGATAAAATTTCTTAAGCTACATGAATACTGTATACATATGGCTCACTCAATATGTATATCCATTTAATGTTTTAAGAGTTACAGCATAAAAAGCTTCATACTGAAAGTTTAAATTGTTGTACTTTATTGTGAGTCTTTAGGAGGAGGAGATTATTACATATGGAATTTAAAAGTCCCCAAAAGAGGGCACTATACATTTAGTAACATTACTGAAAACTAACCTTTGTTACTTGTAAGTTTAAGACTGGTTAGACACTATGTGATTTTCATTATTTGTAAGTGCCTTAAGATGTGGCCAGACTACCAAGACATTTCACATTCAACCCTACATTAAATATAACAATGCATGTACTGTATACCAATTTATATATTAATAGTTTAAAAATGAAATAAAATGATTGTCTGTGAAATATTTCCCAAATAATATTGTAACAAGTCTTTTATTCTATACTAAGAATAAATGAAATGATAATATTAGAATTCTCTGGAAAAGAAAGAAAAAAAAAATATTAGAACTTCCACTTAAACAGAATATGTGCACTATTTGAAAATGCCGCACCTAGACTTTTACAAATGACACATCTGAACTTCAAATTTCTAATTCAATAATAAAACTTTGACACCAATCAATAACAATGAAAGAAAAGTTAGGAAAAAGATCTAGAAATAAAAAAAATCAAATTCTATTAATGAAACACCTATGTATCCACTTTGGCCTTGACCTTTGACCCATGGCCTGTAAAAGTTAATATGGTTTAGAAATCTGTATGTAGTACCTGTTGTATAAGTTTGGTCTAAATCCATCCATCCATCCATCCAATCTTGATATGTCCTGCCCACAAGATCAGGATGGACAGAAAACAGTGGTTTGTTCTGCTTTGCAGTGAGGGCATAAAAAAACTATCTGTGTACATTATCAAAGTCTACTTAGTAATATAGCACTTCTAGAATATCTGATCACTCATTACTCACAACATTTATAAGCTCTAACCAAGTTAAAGCAATATCCAGTATAAAATTCTAGATTCTCAAGTATTTGGCTTATCAGTCTTTAGTTCTTTCATTTACTACCAGACAATGAGATTACAACTCAATGCTGGATGATTATGGGTTCCAAACAAAACAGCTGATCAACTTATTTACATAGAGTGACAGACTGATTTACATATGAATACAATTACTATGAGAATGATTTCAAAGATTAAACTTATTACCCTTAACATAAAATTTCACACTTTGAACTTTTGTATTTCCTCACTCAAACAAATCATACAGTCTGATTATCCAAGTCCTCTATAATGTGTTAAATGCATTAGTGTAGGTAATTATTCTTTTATTAGTTGGAATGAAGATGTCATTTTATGAGGACTTATATGCATCTAAATTTCTGGTAGGAAAATTATAAGTGAAGAACTTATCATCCACAATACAACTATAAAAGTATTCTCTGAGCTTGTGTTGTTGTAATATTTCTTCCAAAATGCAACATTTCTATTTATATAGTGCAAAACTTACCTCTTGATGACACTGACCAATGAAGGATTTTCTTAACTTATCACCTAAACATTTTAAGTTCATTGTGCCATTTGGAACACTCATGGGGAATATTACATGTTTTGGAATCGAAGTACTCAGAAAATAGAAATGTATACAGAGATAGGTAATTAAAGTAAGATGCAAGGCCGTGGGAACTAGGGGTGCTGGAGATGTGGTAGCACCCCCCTGGCTTGAAGTACAGAAGTGCTTTGTACCTACAGCTGGTGTTAGATGAAGTGATGATTTGCACTGTTTATGTTTTACACTGAACACTTGTGAATAGTTTATGCAAAGCTATAAGAATGCAAACTGACTTTTTTTTTATAAGTAAATCTTACTTCTTGCAAGTCTTGTAGTACTATTGCATGACATTTATTATATATAGCTTCAGCCACTCCATGAAAAAGTCTGTCCCTGGTATTGATATTATAAAAGCCTGTAGTCTGATTTTTATTTTGGTTTGTTTGTTTTAAATATTTTATGGTAAGCCTCATTAACATTTTTAGGCACCACAACTATAAAAATTGTTCCAGAATAAATGGTAAGGTGATGCCCATGCTGAGTATATTTTAATATAAACAAAATTCATTATGAGAAATAAATAAAAAGTTAAGAAACTAGTCAATGAATTAACTGTTCTAAAGTACTGAATGGTTTGGTACACATAATGATGAAGATTAGTTAACATTTAATTCCTCGCCATGTAATTGTAACACACAAAACCAATGTGTAAACACAAAAGTAACATTTGTTTTTCCAATAAAATGATGAATGGTGAGTTTCACAGTGCTGCAACTGTTGAGATAATTACTAAGTACTTGTATACTTGTAGTGAGAAAAACTTTGCTCAGTTTCAGTCAGAGTTAGATGGGAACAATGTTTATGTTGTTTATCATGTTGATAATGATAGTAGTAACCGTTATAGATGTTGCTCAGTTGATTTCAAAGAATAGATCAGTTTTCCTATTGTTGCTTTTACTGCTAAAAGGTTGTTTTCACAGTGGGCTGTGAAAAGGGCTTTAACTCTCTGTTTATGGGCTTATTTATTTTGACTGACCTTGTAACCACGAAACTATACATACCATAACTTTGAATGTAGTATCTTCATGCAATTTTGCAAGCTGTTAGTAAACATTATAAGTCTGTTGTACAGAAAAAAATCAATAAAATATTTTTATACAAGAGTTGTTGCTGAATTCACAAAACTATTATTCAGTCAGTCTGGAAAAAAAAATGATTTTCATGTTAAAAACAATAATTTTTTGTTCATCTTATAGTGTGCCAGTTTCATTTGCATAACATTTAGAACCAGAATATCCCAAATGAATATCAAAGTTTTTCTACAGTAAAACCTTATATTTTATCTGTCATTTTCTCTAACTAGTATCAGCTGTATGCAGGCTTGGTCAATTTCACCATCCTTGAAACCACAACGTAAAAAATAAATATGAATTACCCTTTTTTCTTTCTAAAATGATTGCACATTGTAACAGACAATTACACATTGTTTTTAGAGTCAAACCTAATACTTTTCAAATCTAAAATTACTGACAAAAGGAATTATCACAACAGTGCAGCTTTGTGTAAATAAAGTTTCATATTACCAGCAAGCTCAGCCAAATTACAACATGCTGCATTTTTCACTTAAGCTTTCTTATCAAACTTGATAAGTTTCAAATTTTTGAATTTTAGTTACTGTTATAATATTAACTAAAAAATATACACAAAAAAGAAGAAATTTAGTAGTTTAACTCTTGCTCTTGTACTATTTTGTAGTTGAAGCCTACAAAAAAGCTAACCCTACTTTTGGTAGAGTTGTTGTTAGTATTGAATTCTTATTTATTTCAGATATGAAATTTAGAACATTAAATAATAATAGGCACAAAGAATCCAGTCAGAGGAGGTTATAGTTTCTTTGTACACATATCTAATTAGGTTTCATATGGGGCACTGTGTTCAGTATTGGGCTCCTTACTTTAAGAAGGAATTGGAAAGGGTTCAAAGAGGAGCTAGTGGATGAGTCCTGGGATGGAAGGGATGTCATATGAAGCAAGTTAAGGTCCTTAAAATGATTTTCTCTTGAGAAAGACTGGTGAGAAGGGGTCTGATTGAAGTGTTCAAAATTATAAAGGGAACAGATAAGATTTATGCATCATGTTTTTTCGTGTTAAATGGTAAGTGTGGTAGGTCTATAAGACCAAGATTTAAGATTTGGCAGAGCAGACGTTTTCTGCAAATTAGGCAATTTCATTTCTCAAACAGGATAGTCAGAATTTAGAATAGATTGGCTTCAGACATGTTAAATCCAACAGGAATGGGAGAGTTCAAGAGAGGGCTAGATATATCTGTCAACCCATATTAACTTGAAAACCCATAAGCTAAGACTGCTTACTGCTGGTTTTTAAATTTCATTGACATAGCACCATTTTTATACTTTCTTTGACACCTGATGTGTTATCTTTAACATCATGCTGTATATCCAGCATAGCTTTCTCTATGACTGGATCTGGCAATTACTCCATGAAACCTTGTTTTCCCAAGAACTCTTTTTATAATTTCCCAGGAATTTCAATTTTTTGCAGGGAGTCAACTTATGGAAGTTATAATTTTCCTCTTCTGAAAATGTATTTCCGATAGGTACTTACCACCACTCACATTAGCTATTCTTGTACAGTGCTGCCCTCTATAGGTGAACATTTTCTTTACGCATGCCACAAGCCTTGTGCTCCCACCTTGTTGGAATTAGTACATTCCAACATGTCTCTCATGCAAATCATCATGCATCATATATTAACCAATAGTAGCACAATATTCTCATGTTACCCTCTACACTCCTCAACCAAACCTTCACTTCGAAGTTTAGCAGCTTTCAAGTACAGACATTTTCTTTTGTGCATTGCAGTTCCCATGTGACACATTTTTGATTTTAGTTTAAAGTGGTTCTATTTTTTTTTGGTTATACATTACCACATTTCTCCCATTGAACGTTACGTGGGTCACCCTTTGTCCCCTGACGTCACCCAAGCTCCTTCCAAGTCTGCTGACACTATTCAGCATGAAGATGATTTTGATTGTGTTTTTCCACCTCCCGAATTTGCCATTCCTTCCCAGTTTCAGCCTGATAATTCACCTAGACGAAATCAGAAAGATCCACAGTCGCTCTCACCTGAGATCTGAGATAGCAGATTGATTGTTGGTGTGATCCCCGAAGTGGTAACGTTGACTTTGGAATTCATAACTCAAGAAAACTACACAAAATTGTCTAGTGCAGAAAAGCGATGATAATAAACTAGGAGAAATGTGGTAATGTATAACCAAAAACAAAATAGAACAACTTTAAACTTAAATCAAAAATGTATCACACAGGAAGTGCGAAGCACAAAAGAAAATGTCTGTACTTGAAAGCTGCCAAACGAGAAGTGAAGGTTCTGTAGAGGAGTGTAGAGGGAGTCACATGCATCTTGTGAGCATACTGTGCTACTATTGGTTAATAAATGATGCATGATGATTTGCATGAGAGACATGTTGGAATGTACTAATTTCCATCAAGGGAGGAGTGCAAGGCTTGTGGCATGTGTAAAGAAAATGCTCACATATAGAAGGCAGCATTGAACAAGAATAGCTAATTTTGTAAGCGAAGGTAAGTACCATATTGGAAGAAGAAATCTGAGATGTTGATACAATCACTCATGCACAATGAAACAGCAGTGTATCACTGGAAAGAACTGAATAGGACTACAAATTATGATAACAATATAACTATTTTATAAAAACAAAAACAATTCAGGCATGACAGTAAATCCATAGTAAACAGCAGTATGGTTGTAGGCTTTCTAAACTAATGGAAAAACATAGTCACTTCACCAACCTGTAGTACTTGAAAGGTATGGCTTGATCAATATTTGTGGAGTTAGAGTTGTTTATACGTACATGGGTGTTTGATAAAATGAACAGGAAAGCCATAATGAGTCAATAGACTTCTTGTTGTCCCTCAAATATTATGTTATAAAGTTTAGTGTATAGGTTCCTAACAGTAAATTATATTCAGTTGAAACTGAACTTTAAGTGTATAAATTGTGAAAACTGGACTATAAATCCTCTCCATTTGTATGGTACAACTGATGCAAACAAAACTATGGATTTGTGTACATTCAAACAATTGTACATTTGACAAGTCTAAAATAAAATAGTGGCATGTTTGAAAAATTTTAATATGTTCTGATAATTCATCCATAAGTTTCATGCATGTAGTGGTACCATCAGTTTTGTTTGTTACTTTCTTTTGCAATGGTTTGATGAAATAAGCAATGGATCTAAACCTTAACTATAACTGGTTACTTAAATATAACATGTATGATAGCAAGATCATATAATGTGAAATATTACAATACCACACATCAAAATCTAAAGCCTTCATGGCAAATGAAATAAAATTAGCATAAAAACCTAAAACTCACCCCTCATCAGTTTCGTTAATGAGATCACATATTTCCATGTTTAAAGCCCAGTTTTCTGATGCTAAAGAGGCATCTGTAGCCTGTTCTATGAGAATAAAAAGAGAAAACATGTTTATATGAATTCATTTTCACTTGCAATTTTCATCATATAACAAAAACATTACTAATTATTGGTAACCTAATGCTGTAAGTTTAACACACTCAAATCATATGTACATAAGAAAATTCCAGGTGATAAAATACTATTTTTCCAATCATAGCAACTCCTCATCCACACACACACACACACACAC